AAACGCTTGACTTGGGAAGTATTTTTAGAAGCATTTAATGAAAAGTATTTTCCAGATTTTATTCGAGATAAAAAAGAAATGGAATTTCTGGAATTAATCCAAGGAAACCGGATAGTAGTACAGTACGAGGCCAAGTTTACTGAATTGGCCAGGTTTGCACCACATATGATTAACAATGAGGCAAAAAAGGTGAAAAAATTTGAAAGGGGTCTCAGGCCAGCTATTAGAAGCACAATATCAGTCTTAAAATTGAGAACTTATGCTGAAATAGTGGATCGAGCCCAAATTGTTGAAAAAGATTTTGAAGATTACCAAAAGACGAAAAATCAAGTTAGACCCACACCATCCAATCGACATCAGTTTGAAAGGGCAAACAAGAAGCCAAAGCTCTTGCCACTTCAAAGCCCAATAGAACCATGTAAAAAATGTGGGAAAAACCATAGATCGAGCCCTTGTTATTGGAATACGGGAGCCTGTTTTAAATATCAAAAATTGGGGCACTAGATTAGAGAATGTCCTAACTTACAGATGCAACAGCTTCCAAAGCAGAGAAAAATAGCTCAAAAGCCTCAGATGAAGGGAAGAGTATTTGCCATCACCCAACAAGACGCTCAGGCCTCAAAATCAGTGATCCAAGATACTCTTATTATCTTTCAAAAAATAGCTCATGTTTTGATTGATCCTGGATCTACTCATTCATTTATGTCACCACACTTTGCATGCCACTTAAAGGTAGAACCAGAACAATTAGAATACATTCTAGAGGTAGCCACACCGATGGGAAATTCAAGCGACACCAATATAGTGTACAAATCCTGTGTAATGAAGATAGAAGAAAATGACCAGTTGGTTGATTTAATACTCCTAGAAATTCAAGATTTTGATGTAATCTTAGACATGGATTGGCTTTCTGCATACCATGCAAGTACTGATTGTTGCAAGAAAATAGTTACCTTTAGTATTCCGAATCAACCAGTATTTTACTTCAATGATATCAAAGAAGACTCCCCATCATATTTAATCTCCTATATTCGAACTAATCGCCTCCTTTGAAACGGGTGTCAAGGCTTTCTTGCCTATATCACAGAACATAGGATACCACTCCGGTTATCCGATAATTTCCCGACGTTTTTTCTGAAGAATTACTAGGATTACTGCCTGACAAGGAAATTGAATTCTCTATTGAATTATTACGTGTTACTCATGTTCTTTCTGATTCTTGGAATATCTTAAAATATCGTCGATGAATACCACAATAAATTTATCCAAAAAGGGCTTAAAGACCCGATTCATCAAATCCACAAATGCAACCGATGCATTGGTTAATCCAAAATGCATGACTAAAAATTCATAATGGTCATACCTTGCTGAGTGATATGTTGAGTATATGATATGAAGTATTAATAATTTCAGTGATATGTTGAGTACATGATATTACTGCTTTCGAATGTTTAAAGAGATTTAAAAATACTTTAAGTCTGCAAGTAGACTCATCCGGTTCGCAGGTGAGGTATAAGTGGACCTATCTGTGATGCCGGTAGGGATTAAGTGGACTCATCCGATACGCCGGTGAGGTATAAGTGGACCTGCAGGGATTAAGTGGACCTATCTGGGACGTCAATAGGGATTAAGTAGACCCATCAGGACGCTGATGGGGTATATAGGTGACCTACTTGGGACGCCAGTAGGGTATTTTGTGAAATCCTTCGAATTATGCACTACCGTTAAAATGTTATATGCATTTCAATTATTCGGATTATAGTTAATTATGCATGTTTTAAAGTGAAACTATTAATGCATTTTTGTTAATATATCTCTTTTTGAAAATATTGATATCTTTCAATCGTGATTATTTTTAAGATTATGATGATCACTTACTGAGTAGCCAAACTCATC